TAGGCTCTCAAGAGTCGGACACGACTTAGTGACTAAACCACTTTGAAACAGTATGTCCTGTTTCTGCTTAAACTTTCAGCCACGGATTTTAGCATCTATGGATGGGTCTTGTCTGAGGTAATTATTGATATTGCTGTGGTGTTCATGCATTCCTTCTAGATTTATTACTTGAAATTCTTCTGTAAGGAAAAGTTGTATCTTTATCCCTGGTTATTTATATCTGTATGGACTCATGGATTTGTATTTTGTTCTTTGGGTTAGATTTCAGTACTATTGTGATTTGTCTTTTTTGCTCAACTTGTTCCAGCGTGGGTCATGGGGAGCTCTTTCAGGCGAACTCCTATGCCTTTCTGAAATGTCCTGTCCTTCCTTTCTCTTTGCTTTCTTCCTTTCCTTCTGAGGGTTGGGTCCCCTATTCTGAATACACTGTGTGGCCTCACAGAGTCTTAGAAATCAGTCCCAGCCGGTCTGAATATAGCCTGAGGGTTTCTGGTGGACAAGGATTACATTTTACTTTAAAATTGCCAGCACTTAGTTCTGGCCAAGGACATAAGACAAACGGGCACACTTTGGAGATACTATAGGTTCAGGTCCAGACCACTGCAATACGAAGAATATTGCAAAGTGAGTCATGGATTTTTTGGTTTCAGTTCTTATAAAAGTTATGTTTGCAGTATACTGTGATTTACTAAGTGCACAATAGTATTTTGTCCAAAAACGTGCATAATTTAATTAAAAAATACTTTATTGCTAAAAAACTCTGTCATCCGAAACTTAAATGAGTGATAGTAACCTCAAAGATCACTGTTCACAGATCACGATAACCAAGATAATAGTAATGAAAAAGCTTGAAATATTGTGTGAATTACCAAAATGTGACACAGAGACATGAAGTGAGCAAAGTGCTAACGGAAAAGTGGCACTGATAGACTTGCTCAATGCAGGGTTGGGGCAAATCTTCAATTTGTAAAAAACTCGGTATCTGTGAAGTGCAATAAAGCGGAGCACAGCAGAATGAGGTCTGCCTGTACTCAGAAATAAGGATGTCCTGTGTTCCCTCTTCCCCTCAGTCCCCTTCCCTCCTGCATTCCTGGGTCGCTGAGGGTCTAGTCTCCTGTTAGAGCAACTTCCTGGGAGGCAGGGGGCAAGTCTCCCTAGGAACGAGGGCTTTGGGATCACATCTCCGTTCAAATCCTTTCTCGACTTGTCTTCGCTTTGTGACCTTGGTGGCTGATCTACCCTCTCTGTACCCCTGTAAAATGCAGATGATGAACTCAACCTCCGAGGGTCAGTGTAAGGATCACAAGAGATAACAGAAGCTTGAAAAATACAGCTGTGACCACCGCAGCCTGCATAATTGGTTGGAGATGACATACCAGGCAAAGTCGAGGAAAAGGGGGATCTATGCTGGTCAGTCCTGTTTCCAAGAAAGCCCCAATTTTATGAGTCCATTTTAAGGAGAGGGGGTTTGTTTAATCCATAACTCTAAGTGATTTAAAACATATAAATGTGTGATCCTTTGGCTGTAGACATATTTACAGATAAGAATAAAAAGATCCTCCATCAGCTCATATGTCTTCTGTTTTTGTTTGCAAGTTGGGTTCACGTGTTTTTCATGTCTTACCTAAGGTGCTCTGGAGTCAGAGACTCCCCTTCTGCCTCGCTGAGCACCCCTCCCCCCGCCCTTTGCTTCCGTCAGCCCAGGAAAGGCAAGCAGAAGGCACACCAGAATAGCATCCTTCCCAATGGGGAGAAAAAGCCTGTTGTATTAACGACCACACTTAACATGCTTCAATTTTAATCCCCGCTTTAAATTTGGCACAATTGTTTTTACAATAAAGCCTGATTTTTTCCACAATAGGGTGCTGAGCGTATGTGTTTTCTATTCAAACACAAAGAAAGCTCACTTTACTGTGTAAAAGAAAGAAAGAAATAAAAATCAGTCTTTGTCGTACTAGAAATTCACAGATTTGAAATTCACAGTTGCCAGACTATTCAATAACTGCCTCCCCTCCCTTCCTCCACATCCCTCTCAGCCTCACTACAAGCATTTCTGAGCACCTACTGCATACACCCATTCCTGAGCACCTACTGTATGCTAGGCACAAGATCAGGGATGAGTGAGGCACATGGCTATCCCCCGGGAGGGAGAGTTGACCTCCTCAGTGGACTGCAGGCTGAAGATGAGTAAGCAAGACCCAGACCCTGCAACCCAGATCCTTGGGGCCACGTTTCTCAAAGTGTGTGTTCTCCAGATGATTTCAGGCACTCATGGTGGTGTTAGTTGCTCAGCTGAGTCCCACCCTTTGAGACCCCACAGACTATAGTCCACCAGGCTCCTCTGTCCATGGGGATTCTCCAGGCCAGAATACTGGAATGGGTTGCCATTCCCTTCTCCAGGGGATCTTCCCTACCCAGGGATCAAACCCAGGTCTCCCGCATTACAGGCAGATTCCTTCCTTACTGGTTGAGCCACCAGGAAAGCCACAGGCCTGGCATCAAGTCTCACTGAGATGCGAGTGAGAAGGTTACTCTCTTGCAATCATTTTCAGTGCTGATCTTGGCTGGAGAAAGTCTCTGATGGGGACTTGTGAGTCATTAATACCACTCTAGCCCTTGCCACTGTCCCCATTTTAAAAAAATGCTTAATTTGTTTATTTGGTCTCACTGGGTCTTAGTTGTGGCATTCAGGATCTTCATTGTGACATGTGAGATTTTTAGTTGCAGCATGCAGCTAAACACTAACAGTGGTTATCATGCCATTGCCTCGCAGATACTGTATCTATTTTTACAGTTACGTTGCATTTGTGGACAGTGATACTGATTTTCCCATGCAGGAGAGGGAGAAGTTTCCTCTTAGGGTCAGCATTAAAGGCAGAGAGTTAATATAAATAAATATATGAAGTAAATTGTCACATGGTGTGTGCGGACACAGCACACTTCTGAAGGTGGGGGGCGCCCAAAGACGGAAGACAGGAAAAATGATTTGGTTTAACATTCTCTTTATGTTTAGTTCCCAGGCACCCTTCCTGACCTCAGGTCTGAAAGTCCCGGCTCTTAGATGGCAGGGGCATTGGGAGGGGCATTTGGCCATGAGTGGGCCAAAATGTTACGATACCTGCATATCCCTTGAGGTCAGGATGCCAATGGCAACAGCAGCCTGGCAGAGGCCTCGGAGGCATGGTGTACCATGAGCAGAGAAAAACCTGAGGCGGGCTCACCTCCCCAGGGGAAAATTCCTCTAGCCTCTTCTTGGAAGCCCTGGGTTTGTCTTTATTAAGGAAAATGTTTGTGGCTTTGGGCTCAAGGGATTCCCATGCTAGTTGGGGAGAAAGTAGAGAAACCCCTAAATTTCACTGAGAATGGAATGAAATAAAGGCTATACTAAAGCACATATGATATGCCCAGAAGAAAGCCTGGTCAATTCTGGCAGGAAAGCAGGGAAGCCTGCTTGGATGAGGAGGCATTTTAATAGCACCTTGAAAGATGAGATGGGCAAACATGGGCTCAGGGCATTCCTTCAGAATACTTAGAGCCCCCTTCCAGGGAAAGACCTGGGATTTGGAGTCAGACAGACCTGGACTTCATTCCTGGCTTTCCCAGAGTCTAGCTCCACAACCTTGCACAAGTCCCTCCAACTTTGATTCCTGGTCTGCAAAATGGGCAGAGAGGCAGGAGACTGTCTACCTCTCTGCCACTGGCAGATTGGAGGGGCAGAGTCCTCCCAGGGTCTAACTGGTGAAGTCCTCCCATTCTTCCTGCAGCAAGAAACTTTTCAAGAGATTAGTTCCAGGTGGTAATGTAAAGAGCCGCTGGGCTTAAGAACCTGTCTTGGATGGGTTCTGGAGAACTAGAACCCGAAATGGGGATTCTTATGCATCAGTTTTATAGAGGAAGGCCTCTTGGGAGAAACTTGTAAGGAAAGGAGAGAAGCAAAATAGGGCAGGAGAAAGTAGAAAAGATGTGGTTTGGTTTCAGGAGACGTCGGCTAGCCGGATCCCACCGGAGCCCTGAGCCCTGGAGTAGAAATTTCCTCAGAGTTTGTCCCACCCAGTGACAAGAGGTCTCCTTTGTTATAACCCCCACATCAGTCCTCCACTGGCTGTGGGCTACCCTGGGGGTGGGGGTCCATGAGTTCCCAGTCATCTCTGAGGAAGGTGGCTCCTGTGAGCCCAGGACAGTCCTTCAGAGAAGGGTGCAGATGTGACTGCCCACACCTCGGATCCACTGCTTTGGGGAAAATGAAAGTGAACCAGGGTCTCCTGCATTGCAGGTGGATTCTTTACCAACTGAGCTACCAGGGAAGCCCCTCTGCTTTGGGGGAAATAGCAGCAATTTCCTCCCACTGCTGTAGCTTCAGAATGCTCAGAGCCCCCTTCCAGGTAAAAACCTGGGATTTGGAGTCAGACAGACCTGGACTTCATTCCTGGCTTTCCCCTAGTCTAGCTCCACGACCTTGCACAAGTCCCTCCACCGCCGATTCCTTGTCTGTAAAACGGGCAGGGAGGCAGGAGGCTGTCTACCTCTCTGCCTCTGGCAGATTGGAAGGGCAGAGTCTTCCCAGGGTCTAACTGGTGAGGTCAGTTTGACCTGGTGAAAGAATAGACCCAAGGAAGGCATTTTCCCTTAATCGGGGTGGCATCCAGCCACACAGTGGGCTGTGGGCAGAGAGTGGAAGTTTGGCCTTGGCACGGCCCAGGCAAGCATGTGGCTGGCAGGATCGGGTGGGCCCAGGTCTCTAGCAGCCCATAAACCAGACAAATGAATATTTGATAGAAACATAATTCCAGAGAACGAAGGCCCCTGTTGGCCTGATGGTGAAATACAGTGGCTGTCTGACCTCCCCGAGGAATAAATCTGCCCAGTGGCGCTTTCCAGCCTGAGACATGGAAGCCCCTCCATGCAGCTTTTCCGGGAAGAGCTTAAACACTTAGCTTGGGGATGTTTACCAACTGGTGGAGCACTGGGATCTCAAGGTCATCTTGGCTGTGGCTCCTCACCCTGCCCCGGGCGCGCCTCTGTGCCATCCTGGTGCCCGGGGGCTGCCCGCCACTGCGAGCAGGAATGAGCAGAGGCCAGCACTGAGAGGCAGGGAGAGGAAGCGCCCACCTTCGCCTCCTAGGCTTTGTTAAAGGAACTGTGACTGATGGTGTAACCATTACCAGGACCAGGAGGCACTGGTTGAGACCTGGATGAGAACCCTGACACGGGGACGACCTAGCTGTGTGACCGCAGCCAGGTTGCTTGCCTTCTTTGGACTTAGCTTCTTCACCCATAAAGTGGGGTTAATAATAGTGCCTACCTCATAGCGCTGGGGGATGATTTAACGGGCAAATATATCTGAAGTGCTTTGCTGGGTGTCTAGGTCGGTGCTCCAGGGAAGGTCAGCTATCATGACAGTATAATAATAATCTGACCCTAGGCCTCCCCCTGGCCGTGTGTCCTTCAGCAAACCTAAGCCCTCTGAGCCTCAGTTTACTCATCTGTAAAATGGGTCCAAGCACACCTACCTCATAGATTTAAAGAGTATAGGGGTAGAATACAAACTTCTGGCCTATGTAAAGTGAAAGTTGCTCAGTCATGTCCAACTGTTTGTGGACTATATAGTCCATGGAATTCTCCAGGTAAGAGTACTAGAGTGGGTAGCTATTCCTTTCTCCAGGGGCTCTTCCCGACCCAGGAATTGAACCCAGGTCTCCTGCATTGCAGGCAGATTCTTTACCAGCTGAGCTATGAGGGAAGCCCTATGTAAGTGTTCAATAAATAATAATCGTGGTGCTAGTGACGATGGTGAAGTCAAAGACAGATTTTAGCAATATGGGGTTAAGCCCCTCCTTTTGTGAGATGTGGTTTAGCCGCCCCTTGGTAACCTGATGCCCAGAAACCCTGGACAACAGGAGAGTGTATTAGGAATCTATCCTCCCCACTCTGCCCCTCAGCTAAGATACCAGCTGAGACACAAGCCTGGGCCCCAGATTCTGGTTTGCAGGTGTTGGGATGGCAGAATTACATGGGGTGAGGTGTCCTCTGTCATCCTTGTCACCTGGCTTGGCCAGTGGCTCATGATGCTCTCATTGCCTGGAACACTCTTCCTCCAGGCTTCTTCTGGCTCACTCTTAACCATCTCTGATATTACTCTCTGCTGCTCATGTCCTCCTCCTGTTTAGCCCCTCAGTAGCCAGGGCATCCTCCAGCATCACCTGTAACACTGTATTTACAAATGATTACCAGGTACCCAGCACGGGGATAAGTGCCTCACATGCTAACCATCTCCAGCGGTCCATGAGGGCAGGACCATGTATGTCCCTGATTCCCTGCTCAGCCTGTAGATGGGTCTCAGAAATTATCTACTGAATGAAGGAATGAATATATCTGGCATCTGGAGTGTTTGGTCAACAGTGGAGACTGATGTCTCCCTGGCTACCGACTCTTTCAGGCTGGGAAACTGTGGATGGGAAAAGAAAAGAGACTGGGTTCCTTCGCTTCCTGGGCCTCCCTGGTGGTTCAGTCAGTAAAGAATCTGCCTGCAAGTCAGGAGACCTGGGTTTGATCCCTGGGTTGGGAAGATCCCCTGGAGAAGGGAATGGCAACCCACTCCAGTATTCTTGCCTGGAAAATCCCCATGGGCTGAGGAGCCTGGTGGGATGCAGTCCAGGGGATCGCAGAGAGTCAGGCATGACTGAGCATAGCACATACATCCTTTGCCCTCAGGAGTGCTGAAACCCAAGCTCCCTCTAAAGAATATACATGTTTGATTGAACTATCCCCAGCACCATGTGGTTTTCCCTCACCTGAACCTCTCAGGATACCAGGAAATGGATGGACAGTGGTGTTCTAGTTTTATAGCCAAGGCTCAGAGAGGTCAAGGGTATGGCCTAGGGTGCCTCTGTTTATGGTGGCAGAGCTGGGAACAAGGGCTCTTCACTCCTTGCTGAGAGCTCTTTCTCCTCCATTCCACTTTACAAACTCTGGGCTATGTAATCATCAAATCCCAGAATGTCAGTGTTAGTTGGAAACTTAGGGATTGTGTTACACAGACGGGGAGACTGAGGCCCAGAAACAGGGATGTAACTGCCAGTTCCCCATAGCTGACAAGTGGTGAGCATGGGCTAGAACCCAGGTATATTGACTTGAAGCCAGGTCCTAGAGGGAGTGGGTTCACAGCTAACAATTAGCCTGCTGGTGTGGCCGATCTGGGACTCAGTACAAAAACATTCATTGCCATAGCCTGGAGGTTATTTTCACAGACAACTGTTATGATATGTTCTTGGCCTAAACCCTTTTCCAAAAAACCCCAGCCAGCTGAGCAGACAGGCATCTGTCATTGGCTATAACAAGGAAGCCATGGGACTCGCTCATCAGTCATGCATCCCACTTAGAAACAGCTCAGAACACTCTGGCAGGAAAAAAACAAAAAATGTTGTGGTACTAAGGCAGAGCTCTCAAATGAAGGAGCAGGGAACCCGAGACAGGCTGAACGGATACCATTTCAGCACTAGGGACAGTTCCACGGAGGGCAGCTGCTCATCCAGGGGAGTTTGTAATCTCTAGAACTTCATAACCAGAAGCCTGGTCTCCAGGGGATGGGTGATGGTTTTTAAATGGAGGGTCACTGATTTTCTGAAAAAAGAATCCAAGTGTTCACAGGAGCATTATGAGACTTGATTTTGCAGAATTTTGTGGCTGTTTGGGATTTCAGAAACTGAAAAGTTTTAAGGTTAAGAAGGAGAAGTGTAACACCTGAAGAGGTGGAATGACTTTTGGGAATATGCTTGAGCAGCAATCATTCACCCTCCACTCTCCTCCACATTATTGCCAGTAGGGAAATGAGAAGGGGAAGATGGAAGGAGGCAGGATGAGAATCAAAGGGGGAAATGAATGATCTACAGAAAAGGAGAGAGATGAGGGAGAGGAAGGTGAAAGGTACAGAGAAAGTAAGATGAGAGTTTGGAACAAAGGGATGGAGGGAGGTTTTATAGGTTCTAGTGGATCATTACATTTCTCATCCGTGCCATTTCCTGACTTTCACACTGACCCTGGGCTGCTTGCTAGGATTTCCCCTTAAATGAAATGAGTAGATAACCACTTTTAAAAGTTCTTCAACTTTTCATTATGCTTAAAGCTTCAGAAACTCTACTTTGATTAGAACCCCTGGGAAGATCCCCTGGAGAAGGAAATGGCAACTCACTCCAGTATTCTTGCCTGGAGAATTCCATGAACAGAGGAGCCTGGTGGGATATAGTCCATGGGCCACAAAGAGTCAGGCATGACTGAGCAACTAACACAACAGTCTATTACAATGATGTTTTTCCCTGGTGCTGCCAGTAGCAGAGATTTCAGTGGGGGCCCTGAAAGCCTTAGAACACTTGGGAGATTTAGCCTGAATCTGTGATCCTTCGTTTTTGATGGTAAGAAGCTGACCCATGGAGGACAGATGTCTGGGGGCCACTGCTGAAGGGGGCAGGATGGGAAGAGTGCTCCCCGTGGGGCAAAGAGACCAAATGTCTCAGTGACCCTGGAGATCAGCACGGAGCTGTGCTGGTGCCCATCACAATGGTCTCAATGCACCAACCTCATGGATTAAATGGTGTTTGAGAGTCTCTATTTAAGAAGGCTGGAAGGCCTGAAACGTCTTCTAGAAACATTTCCATCAAAATAATTAAGGTCAAGATGCTTGTAGGCTTTTGTTGTTTGGAGAATTCACATGTATGTAATACTTCACTGCCCACTTATGTTGAACAATAAAATATGCACTTTTAGCCAAAAAGACTCATGTTATTACAGTGAATTATAATGAATTAATCTGAGTTGTAAAATATAATAATGATGCAATGTGGGATGAAAGGGAATTAATAGTCTGAGTTTCTATCACTGCCAGCCACAGTGCCAGTGGTGTTACAGTCTTTAATAGATTGGATTATTGCTCAGCAAATATTCACTCCCCTCTCCCTTGGGGCAGTGCCTCTGCCTCATCCCATGATGGAGGGTTTGGTCATGTGACTTTATTTGGCTGTTGGATGATGGGTGGAAATGATAGTGATCTAGTTCCAAGTCAAGTGTTAAGAGGCATTGTGTATTTCCACTGGTCCCCTCGCAGTGCAGCGGAGCCACCCGGAGAAGAGCAGTCCACTTAAGATCCTGCCCAGCACGAGCAGAGTATGCACAGAGAAGACTTGACCCAGCCAAACCCAGCCTAGTCCACCCAGCCTTAGTTACCCTGCAGACCCGTGAATGCAAGAATGAACATTCGCTGTTGTCAGCCACGGAACGTGGGGGTTGTTTATTTTCAACTTTTGTTCTGCACCAACTGATACAGCATGAATAGTCTTATTTAGTCTTTGCAAAAACTCTTTAAAGTAGGTACCACAATTTTTCCCATTTTATAGGAAACAGAGGCCTAAAGAGAAAGAGAAAAAAAAAAAAACTTAACCCAAGGCCACAGAATGAGTGAACTAGCGATGGACCCACACTTAGCTCGTCTTCCCTTGAGGAGGCAAGCAGAGTGCTGCCTGGCGCTCCCTGGCTGGCCCCTGCTTGCCTCTCCCACTCACCCATCCTTCTGCTAGCTCAGAGCTCGGGGGCAGGGGGAGGGGGGGTGGGCTGCTGGGGAAGCTGCCAGGGGAACATCTGAAGCTCCTTTCAAAGAGCCAGTGGGGTTCCCCCGCCCTGTGGCTACAGGAAAAGGTCACATTTGGCGATTCAGCCCACAGAACAATGACATTTCAAGGATCAAAGAAAAGGTTAAAATATTCCTATAAATCTATTCTTGGGACTTTTAAGTATTTCCAATGTAAAGGGAAAATGTCATTTCTTCTTCCCCCAAGAGCAGTGGTCCTGGGTCTGCTGGTACTGGGTCTGCTCTCACTTCCCTGGTGAGGATGAGCAGGGAGGGAGAGCGGATTCATCTCACATCCCTCCATATACGAAGGGAGGTGCAGTTAACCCCGAACCTCATGTATTTATGGAAACCAAATCCCCTAAAGGCTCCCTGAGGAGCTTGGGGGACAGTGCCACATTCCCGCACTCTCCCGGTCCCTCTGTTCAGGGGGCTCATGGATCACTGCGGCAGAAGTGGCTCTTGGGGTGGGAGTGGGGGAGGCCTGGCAGGGCTGGGGGTGGGGGTCAGATGACCTGGCAGCTCACCTCCCTGAGCTTTGGATGCTTATATCCAGCTGCCTCATGCATCCATGTAGACACATCTCCTTCATTCCCAGCCTAGATCGACTCACCACCATCCCCTGGATTCCACATCTTAGTGGGTGGTCCCACTCTGTTTCACCCATTCATTCAGCAGACATGTCTAGAGCACACTCTTAGTATACTGGGCACCAGACAACAACAAGGGACAGACACTCCTGTCCTGGAGTAGTTCGCAGGTTACTTGAGGAGACAACCAAGAAAGCGACAAAGACCTCCCCTGGGGGAAGGGCTAACACCTTGGCGAGTGGGGCCCTGATGAAACCCGGAGACGGGAGTGACTAACTGCGGGGCAGTCAGGGAAGGCTTCCCAAAGGAGTCGTCACTGAATGGGGCCCTGTCTAAAATGGACATGTCCCAAAGGCAGAGGGAGTGCACACGAAGGCCTGGCATCCAAGAAGCCGAGGGTCGTTGGACACCAGGGACACGCTGTGTACCACGGAGGAGCCAGTGTCTGCCCAACAGCTCTTGCAGCCACTTTTCATCCGGGGCCAGGGCTGCCGGCGTGGTGGGCTGCTCCCCCACGGTTCCCGAGAAGACGCTGTTATTCATAGCGCTCAAGTCATCGCTCGCCTCCCACACCCCATCAGTCAGCGAGCCCTTTTCTCATCTGCCTCTCGATCACCTCTCCTCTCTCCCTGCCCACAGCCTCCCTCAGGCCCAGCCCCAGCCTCTCCCTGGGATTGTGCATGGTCTCTGAGTACTGACAGCCTCCGTGGGCAGCCTCCCTCCCCACGCCCCTCCAACCAGGCTGCTGCAGCCACATCTGGCCTTTGGAAGCATAAGTCTTGGCATTCGACTCTCTCCTGAGGTCTTCTTGATGGCCTCCTGTTCCCCACGGGATAAGGTTATGTTTCTGAGCATTGCATTCACAGCCCTCCGAGGCCAGAATTCCCACCTCTCCAGTCTTGCTGGGGTCCCCTGTGGATCACATGAGCATTTCAGATCCTTGAGCCCCCAGTGGCAGGAACTCATTAAACTTCTTCCTGCCTTTGCATGCTCTTTCCTCCAACTGGTATTCTCCCTGCACTGATCTATCCCATTGGGCTTTCAAGACCCAACCGAACACATAATGTAATAGTCATGAAAACAACAGGGACCGTCATTTTTTGGTCACCCCCTCCAGTCCCTCTATATCTCATCACACTGCTTCATTTTCATGTATATATGTATTTTATTATGGTTTTACTGTCTGTTGTCTGTCTTTCCCATCAGAGTGAAGGCTCCATGAGGTCAGGGCTTGATTTTCCTGTGTCCTCTGTAGCTGGAGCCACAGCTGGTGCTGAGTAGGAGATCAAAAGAGTTTGTGGGATAAATTAAGAAATGACTCTTCATGACAACCCGATGAGGTGCTGAGTGGTTTTATCCCCATGCTACAGATGGGGAAACCGAGTCTTTGGCAACAAGGGTTTTGGCAGCTACCTCTCTGCTCCATTTCCAGGTTGCTCCCTAGCCACTGCTCAAGGGCAGGAGCCCAGTCAAATTCCCATCCAGGTCTCCTGGATCCCTAGGAGGGGCTCTGGAAGTGGTTGGTGGATGGTTCCCATCAAAGGTGGGGGCTCAGCGGTGAGAAAAAGGGTGGCTCGGGCAGCCTGGGGGGAGGCAACTCAGCTAATTGCAGCTTGGCTTCCCAGAACCTGTTTCTAGGTTGGGAATTAAATGCACTAATGGTTCCCACACATTCCTGATTGGCACCAAATCACACACAGTGGGCTCATCAGGGGCTGAGGTGGCAGCTGGCGTCAGGGTGGTAGGAAGTCAGCTTTATCGGAGCTGCGTGGGGTTCTTAGTCTTGCAGAACCCTGCACTGGGAGCGCTGTGCTGGAGTCCTTAGTCCTTCTTCTGGGGCAGTGGCAGGAGTCCAGGTTTTGGGACAGCTCAGGTGGTTGGTTGTTTATCTTTCTGTGCCTCGGTTGCCTCATCTGTAAAATGGGTCATCACCCCTACCTCGTGGCATTTTTGGGAAGTGAAGACTTGTGCTTTTCTGGGCATCATACCTAGATCCTCTGTTGCAACTCAGGAGAGGGGATAAGGCTGGTTAGGAAAGCCCTTCAGACCTGGAGGGGAAGGTGGGTAGAGTCAGCACCTTTCTGGGTTTATCTCTTTTGCCCTTGGGAGGGTCCAAGCTGATGGAGCACATTCTTTGCTGAGACCTTTGAGCCCTGGGGCCTCTTGAGAGGGAGGGTCTGAGTGTAGGGTAGTGTAGATCCCTCTTTCCAGGTCATCCACGTGCCCTGTTCTAAGAGGGAGTGAAGTGCAGGGCGGGAGTGCAGCTGCAGTCGGAGTCACAGACCCAAGTGCGTGTCCTCCAACCCATATCTGATCGTGGTCGCGGATGCTCCGGGTCTCAATTTCTCCGAGCGGGAAATGAAGGGGCTGGGCGGGCTGATCTCTGTGGGCTCATCTAACTCTGGCTGAAGAGAATCCTTTATTTCCTTCCCTATTAAACTGCTCGTTCCTGCAAGTAGGCCTCTGGGAGGGACAGAGATTGGACAGTGGAATTCTCATCAAGTGTTTGACTGATCGCTTCTTTAGGGGGCGTTTGTTTTGTTTTATTTAAGAAAGAGCTAATAGCGGCACTTCAGGCATGGATGAAGTGAAGAATTTCAGGCATAGGGGAGCAGAGGGTGAGGAGGGAGAGGAGGCGCGGCCATGCAGGCAGGACACTGACAGTAGATAATGGGATGAACGTGATCTCTGCAGAAGGTGCTGGAAGGTGAACCAGGCACCACCACCCAGGCTAGAAACTGGGATCAAAGCCCAGGAGAGCCGGGTTGGGTTCTGGGAGCTCTCCGCTAAGTTGGGGGTTGCTTCTTGGTGGCTCTGGTAGTAGAGAATCTGCCTGCAATGCGGGAGCCCTGGGTTCGCGCTCTGGGTCCAGAAGATCCCCTGGAGAAGGGAATAGCTACCCACTCCTGTATTCTTGCCTGGAGAATTTCATGGACAGAGGAGCCTGGCAGACTGTAGTCCATGGGGTCTGCAAGAGTCAAACACGACTGCCCGACTAACACTTTGACTTTCACCTTAGCTACTGAAAGGGCAGAGCCTGGGGTTTAGAGTTTCGCAGCCATGGGTTCCACTCCCAGCTCTGCCACCGACGGTGTGACTTTGATAAGTTACCTAACCTCTCTGAACCTCAGTGTCTTTTGGGGGTGCAATGGGATAACACCCCCCTCACACACACCTGCACAGAGTTGCCCCAGGGCATCAGCGAAACAACCCGTGTGAAATGTCTGGCACTGGCCCTAACCACCGTGAGCCCCTCGTAAGCAGCGGTAGGCGCGGTCTGCGTCCTTCTACTGAGGGAGGCACAGCTCTTTCATGGAGGCTGTTTCGCGGCTCTGCTGGGACTGCAGCCACAGTCCTGGGTCTTCAAGGCCCCTCAGGGCCTGGTACCCTGGAGCAGGGAGACTTTACACGTTCCAGTGTGAGGAGGGCTGCCCTGCCTGCTCGACGGGCCGTGACAGCGCTCCATAGTGGGGAAGAACGCAGGCTTTGCAGCCAGCCTGCTGGGTTTGAATCCCAGTCTTGCCACTGACCTGCTGTGTGACCTTAGGTCAATATCACCTCACCATTCTGATCTCAGATAATTTATGTTTAAAATGGAGATGATGATAATAATTCAAGCCACCCCATAGGATGTGAACACAGATGAATGAATAAAGTATCTATACCTGGAGTAACAGGGCAGCCACTTGGTACCTGTGGATACTGAGCACTTGAAACGTGGCTAATCCAAACTGAGATGTGCTGGGAAGGAAAATTACCACTAGATTTAGAAAGCTTAGCACAAAGAAATAGTAGAATATCTTTCTAATAATTTTTTTACATTGATTACATGTTGAAATGATAGTATTTTGGATATATTGGGTAATATAAAACATTATTAAAATTAATTGCACTGCTTCTTTACACTTTCTTTACAGTGAAAGTGGTTACTAGCAAATTGAAGGTTATATCAGTGACTTCCATTACATTTCTCTTGGTCAGTGCTGACATAGAGGAATGCTAGGCATTTAGTAAGTATGAGGTCCGTGTCTGCTATCATTATGAGTTGTTGGGTTCAAGTACTGGGTTTACAACTCTCCATAGGATTGTGTAAAGGTTATTTAACTCTTTAAACCTTAGTTTTCCTGTCTGTAAAATGGAACTAATGGGATTAAACAAAATTATGCCTGTAAAGTGCTTGATTGAGCAACTAGCATATAGGTAGCACTCATTCACTGTTAGTTGTTATGTTGTTGGCCTATGAGATCAAAGGTGAGGGGAACACCCTCACAGATGGGACACGGGCTCATCTGGTACCACCCAAGCAGTGCAGGAGGGGCTGAGCCAATGGATTGCCCCACGAACGGGACCCGAGTCCTGAATAAACTCTGCCTTGAGCTGGGGGTTGAGCTGTTTGGCCAGTTATATTAAGGGAAGGGTCAATAACACATTAATGGGATCAGTGGCCCTATTAATCTTCCTCTAATGAACAGCCATTCAAGCCAACCTGTCTTCCCCAGATCCTGGAAGACATTTTGTACTGGCAGGAAACTCGCTGAGTAGAAACAACCTCAAATCTTTTAAAAGTGATTTAGTGGGTTTGCTTGGGAAAAGGTGTGCCGGGGGCCAGGCGCAGGGAAGGAGAATTGAAATGGCCAAGTCACCGCGGATCTCTCCCTAGGGGCTCCTGATCGAAACTCAGAGCCAGCTGACTCTGGGGAGGGGTGGAGGACGGGGTTTTGGTGGAGGTCAGGAGTGAGGGGAAGGTTTAGCTCACCACATCTGGCTGGACATTCTCGCCTCTGAATCAACAAATTGTTGGTGATACAAGAAACTGGATGGCCCAGAGGACCCGGAGAGATGCTGATGGGCTGCGGGGAGAGCTGAGAGGAACATGTGCAGGCCCAAGTCTGCTGGGCTCACCAGTGGTGTCAAACTGTGTGACCGCAGGGATCTTGTAGGTGGAGTCAAAGCAGAGTGGACTTGCTGGGAGGTGAAGAGGCGGTGGGGCCTGAGAAGGTGCTGAGCTGGGGTGGGGTCGGGGGGGACATGGGAGGAAGAGCCTGGGGGAGGAGGGTCCCAGGTCCCTGGGAAATGCACAGAGGGCGAGGAGGACCCTACCCAGATGGTTTGACTTTGGACCCTCTCTTTCTCCTCTGCTCCGGTGTCTCACCCTCAGCCCAAGGATGCTGTCGCCCAACCATCAGTGTTCCATTCCTTGCAGGTGACTCTTCTGGGCTCCGAAAGTCGATTTGAAGACACAGATGCTCCTGGGAGGCTGCTGATTTCCACTTGACCATCAGTCCATCGACCTGTCCGTCCACCACCCACTGAAGGGAAACAGAAATGAATACGTCGAGGAACCCACCTGCCCTCAGGAAACCCGGCAGCTAGGAGGGAAGAACAGGTGTCAATCCATGTGACCCTGAGTCGCAGGAGTCAGGGGTCTGGGCTGTAAGAAGTTTCACGTGGAGCACTGTGGGGTTTCGGAGGACAGGGTGACTGCCTCCATCCATTGGGTGAGATTAGGCCTCAGAAGAGATGATAGAGATCAGCAAGTCGAA